TTCCTTTTTCTCTTCCTTGACATTTGTAGTCTCTTGAATCTGTGGACCGATGCCTCTCGCCATTTCTAGAAAACACAAACTGGACTCCAGTTCTTGCCTCCTTGGGACTTCAAACGTCTAGACCTTCACACTGAATTCTTTAAAACCCCCACTCTTCTGTTCATTCCTCACCTCCCGTATTTTCCTTTGCAGTCTTCATTCTGTATAATCTCTTCTAAGCTTCTTGTTCATCCTCTTTGTGCCTAACCGGCTGCTAAGTAATTACCACAGATTCTAGAAGTCTGCTTCAATCACAATTTGGCTGTTTTTCCGTGCGTGGTACTACGAACATATCAGATTGAGCACCTATACTTTCTCTATGCTCTGAGTGAGGACCGCCCTCTCATCCCTGGGAACACAAAGGGTTAACTGTCTGCCTGCATCCCCTGCATCTGTTTGGGGAACGTTTGTTCTTCAGTGCAGAGTGGTGCCTGCGCCTCTAGGAGAGGCTTGTGGAAGAGTAAACTTCATGCCTTGGAGGGATAAGCTTTTTATTTTTAAGATAAGAGAAGAAACATTTGAAGCCCTGGAGAGTAAAATCCTCATCATCTGTAGAGAAACATCACACATTCTCACTTGAGAATGTAGTGGAGAGTATCTGAAATCAGGAATTCCGGATTTAGTTCAAATTCCCCCGCTATTAATTAGCTGTGTGACTCTCTGGAGTAAGTCACAAAGCTATCTGGCTTTTAATTTTTCTTCTTTGTAAATGAGGATGAAACAGGGTGTCACAAACCATTCAATTACTATTCAAATGTAAATTACCATCTTTTCATAACATCATTCTGGGTACGGAATAGGACAGTGAAAGGGGGAGCGGGGCACCAGGTCGTTCTTCTCCAAAGGGGAAAGGATGAAGGAGCTTGGAAACCCACACCTTGGGGACATTCCTCCTTGCCGCCTACATTTACCTCTGACAACGAGGTTTCCTACTGCACAGTCATGGGACCACAGAGTGGGAAACACAGACCTCAGTCAGGTGGACCTGGTATAACCCCACCCGAGACATGCTGCCCGAGTGGGAAAACTGTCTAGCCTCTCCAAGGCTTTAGATCTTTACCTATAAGGTAGGAATTGCCTTTTTGTAGGAAGTCCAGACCAAGGGTAATTGTGAAGATTTCTTGAGCCACCTCATGAAAAAGCGCCTAATAGTGTTCCGGGCTTGTAGGTGCTCAATAACTGTGAGTTCTGTTTTCTCTTTCATAGAGAGGAACTGCCGCATTTATGAATTTAACTTTGTTAACCATTTATTAACAGCTCATTGAAACCCATTAATGGAATTACATATGGAAAAGAAAAATGCAAGTTAACACTTCCGCAGAACTTTCTGCTGTGTGATAACCGTCTGGGAAAAGTAGTATGGCAAGTAGAGCACAGAATAAAAGAAGGTAAAACACTATCGAAGAATGAGTTTGAAAACTGCTGTACAATAAAATGTGTATTAAGTCATACAGCCTCTGATTCACTCCGCTCCATGTTTTATTGACTCTCACTAACTTGTAGCTCTTAAATGTAAAGAAAAAAAAAATCTTCCTTTCATGGACATGGTTTGCTAAGAAAGAAAATACAAGCAAATACAGTATCACTGGTCTTCTTCCATCCAGTTTTTAAATTACCCCCATTGAACTCCAGTCCAACCCAAAGAGCAGCGTCCTTTAGCTGAAATCTCAGCGTAAATGTTTCTATAGCTTCTCAGCTGAACTGTCATTTGTAAGCTTTTTAAAAATTAATTATTAAAACCACTTCCATTAGTCTTTTGTTTGGCCGTCATACAACCACCTTCCTTGTGCTGTTTAACGAGCGAAATGCCACCAGCATCAGCTATAAATACCGGGCACCAGCTACGCGGAGAAGGCATATGACTCACGCTGGCCGGCTCCCCAGGGCTGGCTCAGAGATGACTGCATCCTGGGGGAGGGGACTGGGCCCACTCCCGGCCCACGGCACGTTCCAGACTCCAGACCAGCCCGTCACAGGAAGAGCGTCCCTTCGTCAGTCCCTTGGTTCAAAGTATCGGGACACTTCATTCACACAGTCCATTGGTTGGTACCTTCTTTCTGCCCCTTGTTCTGCTGTCTGTCCATCCAGCCATCAAACGTTATTTGTATTGCCCTGACCGGTGTGGCTCAGTGGGGTGGGCACCATTCTGCAAGGCAAAGGGTCACTGGCTCAGTCCCTGGGCAGGGCACACCCCTGGGTTGCAGGTTTGGTCCTGTTCGGGGCGCATGTGAGACCATTGATCGATGTTGCTCCCTCACATCAACGTTTCTGCTCCCTTCTTCTCACTCCCTTCCCCTAAAAAAATATATTTTACAACACATTTTATTACCAACTATGTGCCTCAAACTGGAGGAAAATTATTAACTGTGTTCGCGGTTTGGAAGGGCTGGACAAATACTTATTATAATGTAGCAACTTCCACATCAAAGGAATGAAACGAAAGCCCTGGAAGTCCAGCGCAGGGGTGGCGGGAAGATTTCTAGGAAAAGCCCACATGGAGGGAAACGCGATGCCCCTGAAATAAAGGATCAGGATGGGAGAACATTCCCAAGGGGAGGCCGGCCAAGGCACAGGATCACAAACACAACTTTCTGGAGAACTAAACGCAGTTAGGAATGACCAGATTGGAGGCTTCTTTGAGGCCAGTGGTCCAAGAGGACCGTCCAGAAGGCAGGCTCGCGTCGCTGGCCTCACGTGCTACCAGGGGAGACTGGGGACGCAGCTCAGAGGGTGGGCTCCCGTGGGCCTTCAACACTGGGCTTTAGTGGACGACTCCTCTTTAAAGAGTGAGTTCCACTATAAATAATATGCTAAAACCACCGATCTAGATAACGAAGTGTCTGGGCTACGAGGAGGAATCTGAGCCTTATCCTCAGATGGAGTTTGAACAGCACTAACTGTAAGATACGGAATCTGACGAAGGCGGCTGGTGCGACGTGGGTTATGATGTTGCCCAGTGCCCTGCGGCTCCACGCACGTGCGTGGGACACACTGAGGGTGCGGGGACACGCTCACCTGGTGGCTCACGCGCCCTCCGGGCTCCGGAAGCCGGCACAGAACGCGCCAGGAGGGGAGTTCACCGTCAGTACTTTCTATCTGGTTATTAAACACGTGGACATTAAACAGTTACAATGCTCACAATGACTCAGGTCCGAGGCCAGGCCACCCTTGGCTCTGGTTACCACCTCCATCAGGGAAGTCTGGCTACAGTGACGTGATTTAGTCCTCTTTAAAAATCATTGCCAATAGAAATAAAAACACGTGTAAATACCTACTTTATAAGCCTTTTAAAGTTGGGGAAAGCCTTTAAAACCATATTAGAGCATGTAAGGACGAAATCCCTACCACAATCATTTCTGTAGTAAGTGTCACCACTGCTTTCGAATGACACTTGTCATTGACACCGATCCCGATCTTTTCCAAAGTACTTTTGTATCGATTACTTTGTACTCACGGCCCCTGAGGTAGGACGGCTGTGGTGACTGAGGCCTGACACATTTACATCAGTGCAGACAATCAGTGAATCGGGCAAAGGACAAGGCAGAACCCGGGTGTACTGAACCCCATCCCAGGGTTTCCAGCCACCAGCCCCTGCCGCTCCACCTTAATGCCTACTTTAAAAAGGTTCCTAAAAAATCAGTCGCCATCCACAAAACATTTAAATAGTCCTCTGGTATGGTGTGTTTACAAAAAAGTACGGATATGATGTCACAGCCTTCATCCCAACCTTGGGGTTGGCCTTGTTCCCGAGTTCTGAAATGCGCCGACTTTCTCATCACCCCCAGGTGTCTCTGACGCCCACACGATCTCAGGACCACCCCCACGCACCCACCTGGCCCCGGGACCCAAGGACTGCCGGAGGCGGCTCCGTCAGTGGGGGTGTTCTCCTCCCCAAGCTGCAGGCTCGGTGCCACGAGGCAGCGAAGCCAGGAGAGGGGAGCCACAGGTGCTGCTTCCTCTTGCCAATGATGCTCGTCTCCACCTGCCGAGTGCTAGCTCTCCCCGGAGTCCTCCCTGTTTCAGGAAGCCTCTCCCAGCTGGATCTTCCCACACCAGTGTCTTCTTTCACTTGCCTCAGATCTATTATTTCTCTTTGCCAGTCCTTTTAACACTCGGACCCTAGCTTTCCTGTATTGTCAGTTGTTTTGTGAAGTGTATGTTTTGAAGTGAGAAATAGTAGGTTCAAATGCTAGCGCTGCGTCTATCAGATTTTAAGTTACTTGACTTATCTGAGCCTCATTTTCCATAGAGAAACAAGGATAATATCTTGTCAGGCAAACGTGAGCACGATTCACAAAGCATTTAGCTTCCCACCACCTAACACATAGTAGGTGCTCAATAAGTGTTTCATATAACCCGATATAGACTACAAAGAAAAAACTAGATGAACGGTGGTTACTTCTCTTTATTTATAGCTGACACAACTCACCACCGGCCTCAGGAAACCAGAGAGTGTGTGATTTCCCCTCCTGTTACCTTTAGCCACGTGAACGTCATCACGGGCAGGTGACAGTGATACTTTGAATAACTCATTTACATGGTACTTTAACATTTATAAAGAGCGTTTGGGGGTTAAGTTTATTGTTTCATTTGATTGTTCCAGTGACTCCTGGAATGTAGGTGGGCAACTTGTCATTAAGTTTTGTATCCTAGGAATCTTATTCAGTGTGGTTAATACTAATAGTAGCACTTTCATCCTAATTAGCAGTTTACAAATCATTAGAAAATTCCTCAAATTCCTACTAGTAGGGTTTCAATGTGTAAGACCACACAGGTGGCTGACTCACTACCTTCCTGCACTAGCTGACAAATGTCTTCTGTACGGGTCAGAGAGCAATTTGGGCTCTGCAGGACCCTCAATGGACCCCATTGCATGCTGAAAAATAATCCTCTACACGAGTTGTGTGGGGTCCCCAAGACCGCCCTGTAGTTCAGGGACCCACGGAACTCAGAAAAATGGCTATGCCAAGTCACAATTTATTGTAGCAAAAACAAACACAGTGTAAACTCCACAGATGTGAAAGGCACACAGGAAGGACAGACAGAGTCTGGGAGAGCAGAGAGAAGTTTCCGGCCGTCCTCTCCACGAGGACGTGTCATTTAACTCTTCCCCAGACCACGTGTGGGGACACGCACGGAGTGCTGCCAGCCGGGGAGGCTCACCTGAGACTGCACGCCCGAGAGTTTTACTGGGGCCGCGGGCCCGGGCACCCAGAGGGCCCACCTCACTCGGTGCTCGGCTCTTCCAGGACCAGCTGGCCCCGCGCGGCACCACACCCCACAGTCAGCACACCTGTCCGGTGTTGCTCAAGGCCCCAGGTGAGCGAGCATTTGGTCGAGGGCCAGACCGCTCTTTGGAATGCACAGGATGCGGAGAGCTGGCCTACTGAGTCGGTCCTTCACTGCACGTGCACCGAGGCCGTTCTCGGTTCCAGGCCAGGGACGGATCGGTGCCGGAGACTCCAGTGCCAGGGGTGTGGAGGTCGCGCCGCCCTCTGCGAGCTCAGACACGTCCCGTGCAGATGCTCACACTGCATCGTGGGGACGACGACACGCGTCCGCCCTTCAGGAATGAGAATGTGAAATCAGACGTGTATAAAACGTGTCACTCTTTCTACAAGAAAATCAATCTCTAATGCGAATCACTGGGACTTACACATGATTTAAATATAAGAATATAAAATGTCCGCCTTTCTTAATAAGGAAACTGCATTTACAAACTAGTGAACTAAATATAAAACCTGTTAGACACTAGATTAAAGCAGAGGTCTCAAGACACACTAAAGCTCTGTGTTACATACATTTTATCACAAGCAACACACAGCTCTGCTGTTTCTCTGCTAGGACACACGCAGAGAAGGGAACGTTCAGTCAGACTGCTTCATTACACATACTTTCTCCTAATATGGCCCGTGACCTTTGTGTGCGTGAATGTCAAGGTTATGAAATAAGCCTCAGATAACTGCGGAAAGTCAAACTATGACCAGTGTAGGAGCCAGCATCGCTCACAAACATGTTTTACTGTCTTCAGAGGCCGCTGAATTTAAAACGAGCACTGACCTATTTTGTATCTAGAGTTAAGACTGTTTCTAGCTTATTCCTAAACAGTCTTCGGGTGTGTCTGAAACGTGTGAGTAAAGCTGCCCCGAACGGGGCTGAAGGGCAGCAACCTCCGAGCTGCTCCCAGCTCCCTGAGGGCATCCGGTGCCAGCACAGTCAGGCGGTGTCACAGCAACGTCCACGGTGGGCACGGACATTGTGAGGGACCGCAGTGTCCCCTCGGCTCTTTCTCAGGGGCTGCGTCTTGTGCTGGCACATGAGGGGGTGCTCGCGATAATTTTTTTAACTCCTTACCCAAGGATATGTTTATTGATTTCAGAAAGGAAGGGGGAGAAACGTCGATGTGAAAGAGAAACACTGATCGCTGGCCTCCTGCGCACAACCCGACCTGGATCAAACCCGAGACTTTCTGTGTGCGGGACAGCACCCAGGCAGCCAAGCCCCGGGCCAGGGCAGCTCGCGGTGGTGTTAGCACAGCACAGACGCCGCGGTGAGAAAGGCTGCAGGGTGCACTCTGCTCCTTCTCGCGGGGGCCCGGCCCCTCCCTCCTGGCACCGAGCTCTGCTGCCCTCCTCCCGGAGGCCAAGTGGCCAGCCAGGGCCTCGAGTCACTGGTGCAGAGGTCTCAGCAGGGCTTCCCCGTGCTCCATCAGCCACAGCTCTTACTCTTGAAGTCCCACTGTCCCCAGTGAGGCTCTGCACCGAGAACACCATCCCCCGCTCTGAGTGGCCTACAGCTCACACCCACAGAGCACTGGAACTGAGCTCTGAAGAATGGGGCATTTCTGGAGTGCTCAGTATGTGCCAGGCAGCGTGCTAAGTGCCATCTGGACTATCTAATTACAGTGGAGGAGCTAGGAAGCCCATTTTACAGATGAGTCCAGGTAGTTTAGCCCGAACTCGCGTCGCTAAATATCGTGCTCTACTGCTGCACACAAACAAGCACAAGCACACAAAAAACTACCAGGTCACTGGAGGGAGTCACAGAGGTACAGGGACTTTTAAGACTACAATGTTCTCATTTACAGACAAGAAATGTGAGGTCAGCAGGCTTCAGGAATGAGCCAAAGGTCACCTACAAAGACAGAGCTGTCCTTTCTTCTCTCCAGGGCCTGTCTGCGGTGCGCCCGCCTTCTCCCCAAACGCGACTCTCTCCCTGCTTTCCCCCTCCGCCCCTCCCGGCACGCCGCTAGCCCTGAGAGAACCTCGGGTCGCGTGCCAACTCGCCGGTGCCAACTCACCGGACGGGAGTCACTGGCGGAGGGCAGTGCAAGGACACTGGACTCCACAGGGCCAGCCTGTGTTTAAAACAAGGTGTTTACTGTAAACGTCAGTGTTTTGTAAACAACGATCTGCAAGACCGAGAAACAAGTAACACAGATTGGCCAGCATCTGGGGACACTGCCGCTCACATGCCGAACCAACTGCACAGATGTATGTTCAGGGCATGTGCCCCGGCCCCAGGCCCTCCGACACGACTGCAGGGGAGGCCTGTGCCCCCCCCCCCCCGAGCCTACACGGAGCACCCACTCTAGCCCTTCGTTACACTCCCTGAATGGCATGGCCACATTCCCTTTCCGAACGCTCTGATTCGCCGTTCTGAAGTCAGCCTCTGGTCGTCCTCCGTCTGCCCTGCCTGGCATACAGCCAGTCATTTTTTACACATGAGCAAAGAGTGCAAACTGTTTATCTCGTTTGCTCAGTTTGAAGCTAAATGTTTCAATGTTTATGTGAAAATCAGTTTGACTTCCTTAGGGCCACACTAAAAAGCTAATCATTCTCATGGTGCGTGCAGTTTTCCAGACTCTGAAGGTTCAAGGCAGGCAACTACTCACGCAGACTAGGGTTCTACCGTCGATGACTGTGCTCAAGGCTGGTGTGGTGCAACTATAGCCTCTCCTTCTGGTTCAGGTTTAACACACAGATGGGGAGAGTGATATGCACTTTCTTTGGAATCACTATTTATTTCCCACCTTATGGTGAAGACCCATTAAAAATCTTACTGATTCTAAAGCTCTCAATATGAAAGTTGACAGGAGATAAAAAATATCAAACTTAGAAGTAAACATTTAATTGGAAGCAAAGCATATGCTGGTTCTGAGAAGATATGAAAACCAGAACCGCACGTTTAATCACACACTTTTAGAAAGTTATAGGTGGTCCATTCCAGAATGACTACACAAGGGCAGACTTCCTGCATGTATTAACTCTTTTAACCTCCATGCATGACCCAGACCCAGACCCTGGTCCTGAACCATGGGCGGTGCCTGGGCACGGCCTCTGGAGTCAGGGGTCTCCGACACTTGAAGTGCTCCGTGATTACGAGCAGCCTCACTTCTCTGAGGCGCAGACCCCTCAACTGTAAAATGTACGAACAGCGTCACCCGGGGGCTGCTGCAAGGGCTGCACGAGGACGTGCGTGAAGGTGCCCAGGTGATACCTGCACCGTAACAGGTGCTGCACATACACCGTAGCACTCGCGAGTGTTCAGAGCCTAATAACGAAAGATGTGCTCAGATGAGTGACAAATTCAGAGGAATACCCAGAGAGCAAGGATTATGAATGCAAAGATTTGGATGTGATGAAATGCTTTTCCTTGTATATGTTTTATGATTTAAAAAACTGGTCTGAATAAATGTCTAATACATTTCTTGAAGTAAATAAAATCTGAAATGGTTAGAAAGCACTGTTTCTCAAGTTTATGCTTTCTTCTTAAGTGTATAAAATACTGGCGTATAATTAGTGGCATTTCTGAGCACTGAACTACTGTTTTTAAAACATTGAAAGATAATGTATTTAGGATCATGTATTTATAATATTGAGGGTAGAAAAGGCATTCCTACAAAAGATTACAGAAGTCACAAAAGATTACATAACAGTTTTAAATCAAGTTAAAAAACACGTAACAGATTAGGAGGAAATATTGGTAACACATATAAGAAAAGAAATATCCAAAATACGTAGAGTTATTAGAAAGCAGTAAGAGCAAACTGACAAGCTTAGAGAAATATGGGCGAAGGGTATGCATGTGCAATAAAAAAAATGAGAGGAAGAAGCCAATAAATACATGGAAATGTATTTATTTCTCCACAAGGGAATGCAATAAACAAGATACACCACTTAAAAGCTTCGGTGAGCAAACGTGAACAGGCTGAGCGCACCCTGGCAGGGATGTGAGGACATGGACTCTCCTGTACTGCCAATTGGAGTACGAACTGGCGCTGACCCTCCGAGATTAGTTTAGCAGTATCTACCCATGTTTTAAATAGACGTGTTCCTTGACACAGCAGTCATGCCTTTATAAACTGTGCTGTAAAAATAGTCATGCCTATAACAGTGAAAGACTGGAGCCACCTCCAAACCTACCAATAGGGAAGGAAATAGGTCATGGTCCATTTAAACAAAGATTTTTTAAAATCTGATACACAAATATGGAAAGTTCTCCAAAATGCATGAAAGAGGACAAGATACACAGAGTATGCCTTTGTGACGATATTAAAACCACCACCCGTCAGCCAGGTGGGGACCTGTGTGCAAACACACGGGTGTGGAAGGTGTATCGCTATCGATTCCCTGTAACAGAGGGAGGGCTGTGGGACGCGAATGTGAAAAGGGGCACCTGCATGTTTTACTCTAAACAGACAGAACAAGTGCCCAAACTTCTAGAACGCTACCTGAAAACGAAGGGCTTGCCGGTCCCCAGCCCCCAAACTCTAGTTCTCATTCACACTCATACCTTTACTGAAAAGTAACTCCGTGCCCTGATGATGGACACGTCTGTCTGTGCTGCTGACCATACACAGAAGAGTTTTAAGCAAGTGATCGTCCAATATACACAGGACACCCACACAAGTGTTTCCACAGACAACCCACAGAATAAGGAAAACTTACAAGGTCAACCTTAAGGCAGCTGCGTACCTTTAGGGCCTCTGACACTTTTTCCAATCAAAGAAACCCTGCGAAAGTCTTTTCTTCTGGGGAACTTGAGCTCTTATAAACTGGCGTGGAGAACAAGCAGCAAAGGAACCTTCTCAAACCAACAGTCCAAATCCTGTTTTTAAATCTCTTTAGGCAGAAGGACAAACAGTGAACACATAGCTGGAGTCTTTAAAGAGCCACCCTGAGTAGGTGAGGAAGGGTCAGCATGTTTGATACACCAGCTCTGGCCGCACCCGGTCAGTCCCGGGACAGCTGAGTGGCAGAGCAGGTTCTGCTGCTGAGAACTGGACTCGTGAGAGCGTTTGACTCAGCCCCAGAGGAACGACGTGTATTAAATCATAAAACTGCCTGGGGGACTGCTCCTTTTCCATAAAATTACAGGAAGTTCAGGCTAATAAGAAAAGTAACCCCAGTCCACACACAAAAAGTGCTAAATGGGAAACTGCTATTGGTTTCATAACGTGCTGCCTGGCGGCTAGACGAAGAGGGAAAGTGAGGAAAAGTCCCTTTTCATTTTAGTTATGAAACCACCCCTTCGTTTTCATCCAGAATCGGATACCAGCAT